TCCCTCTGTACAAACTACAGGGGATGGAATCATAGAATCGTTTAGGTTGGAAAAGACCTTTAAGACCATCAAGTCCAACCATTAACCCAGCACTGCCAGGCCCACCACTAAATCACATCCCTGAGCACCACATCTACACCGCTTTTAAATACTTCCAAGGATGGTGACTCCACCACTTCCCCAGGCAACCCGTTCCAGTGCGTGACAATCCATTCAGTGAAGAAATTTTTCCTAACGTGCAATCTAAGCCTCCCCTGGTGCAACTTGAAGAACTTGGAAAAGATGTGGGAAAAGCTTTCTGCACGTTCTGGAAGCAGCACAACATTTGTGAGCTTCGAGCTCTGGGAATCTCGGACCCTTCGTGACGTCTTCATCAACCTCCTGCCCCAGGGCCCCTTTTGCAACTCAAATTATCCTCAGGCTGTTCAACCAACAGCCCTGGAGTCAGGCCTGAGATAGAGATGTGGTCCCAAGGACCTCAGCAAAATGAATTTTGGAACAGAAGTTGGGGCACAGCATGACTGAAGTAGGGCAGCAGGGGACACAAGGGACAGTTTCTTATCCTGACAGCTAGAGAGGTCACAGATGAAGAATGACATCCAATTTTGGCACTACACATTAAAAAAAAAAGAAAAAAAAGATCAAGACAAAGTGAAGGAAGTTTGGAAGATAAAAACAGGGACAATGAGAAGCTTAGAAACATTATCAATGAGAGGAGATTGAGAGACTTGCATTTGTTTAGTCTACAAGGGAGATAACAGGGGGGTTACAAGTTGCAGTTTCCCAACATGTAAAAAAATGTTGTCAAAGACAGAGTGATGAACCAATGTGCACAGCCAGAAAGAGAACGGCAAGAAGAATTCGGCTTAAAAGACTTAGTTTGGAAATTAGGAAAGCTTTTCACATTGTCAGGCAGTTGGGGGGGTTCTTTGAAAATCACCTCATTAGAAGCCAAAAATCAAAGGTCGGGGACTGATAGAGAAACCTGCCTTCGTTTCTTGTTCATATGAGACTTTACCTTCCCACGATCTTTTTTTAGCAGTCCCTCATCTAGAGCACCACCTTGCTGCAAGACACTGGCAGAACAACTCTGCTAGAAATCACAATCCCTACATTGACACGAACGTTCCTCAAAACCCTATCTTTTGCCGAAACAAATGTCGGCATCTTCAAACAGAGTTGTGCTCTTGAAAAGGACTCTCCAAGTTCCTCCATTGCTGCAAGCCCATTTTAAAGTAGATTAAAGTAGAGGAAACTTCTCCTAGACAGATTTCAGGATGCTGGGGCAGCTCAGCCAGAGTTGTTCTGAAATGCTCCCACCCACCCGGCTGGGAGGTTCTTTGGTGCTGGGGACTCCTCGCCCTGTCTCCCCTTTACAACCATTTTCCTTCAGTACCTAGGTCTCTGCTAAGCCCGCTGAGCCTCTCGCACGCTGTGTCCTCCCAAAAGGAGACAGAACACACTTACCGATGCACGCCTGCTTTGTGGGGGTGCTCTGGAAACCTTCGTGGCACTTGCAGTGGTAGGAGCCAGGCGTGTTCACGCAGTCGCCGTGCACACAGGGGCTGCTGGAGCACTCGTCCACATCTGCAAGAAGAAAAACCTAAACCCGTGAGTCCCTGTTACGCACAGTGAGCTACCAGGCCAGGCAAGGAAGGCTGCTCCTGGGAGCTGCTGAGCGTGGCTTTTCAACTGCAGTGCTCTGACAGTACGGCCAGCAAGATCCCTCTGGACCGTCTCCCTTCCCATCTCCTCCCTCAAGTGAATCCGGTGTCACCTGCAGACTTGCCGAGGGGGTACTCGATCTCACTGTCTGTGTCATCGATGATGATATCAAAGAGTATTGATCCCAGTACGGGCCCTGACTCCACTCACTACTGATTTCCACTTGGGCAGCTGTCACAGTGCCAGGACCCCATCCAAGCAGTGACCAGCAGCTGAGCCAACGGCAATCTTGTGGCTACCAGAGGAGAGTTGTCACCCTGGGCGTTCCTTGAGGGACAGACATACCCCCTTCCGTCACGGTGCTTCGTTGCCCAGCACAATCTCTATCTCCAGCCTCTTTTGGGGGGTTCTGACTGGGAAGGGGGCTCTTGGGGCAGCAGCTGGAGGAGCTGTGAGGAGCAGGCATGGGGCACAGCTGGAGCTGACCTGTGTGCATGTCCAGCAGAGCCTACTCACCGATGCACTCCCCGCGCACGTCCTGCTTGGAGCCCATGTTGCACTCGCAGCGGTAGCTGGACGGGGTGGGGATGCAGCGGCCGTTCAGGCAGAGGTTAGTGAAATGCTTGCAGATGTCAATGGTCTGATTCAGTGTGGCGGTTCCTGGAGAGCACAGAGACACCATCAGGTAGAGGGTTACAGCTCCCTGGATCGTCCCCAGGAACCAGGGTGGGTG